AGGGAGCTGGGGGCTGGCTGGGGAATCCGTGGGGCGGGTTGTCCGCGGCTCCAAAGGGAGCCGCCTCCCTTCCCGGTAGCCTCAAAGCCACGCGGGGGAAGGTGGCGCTGTGCCAGGGCCAGGCGGAGGCAGAGCCGGCCCGCAGCCACGCCCTGCCCAGGGTGCAGGTGGCCCCAGCAGGGAATGGTGCTGGGGGTGGGCTGACTCCCGACCTGGGAAGAACCTTCTGCAGGCTGCCTCCCGATCCGAGCCAGGGGCCTGCACGCCTGCAGTCACAAAACGTTTATTGAGCACCTACTGCACCCGGCGCTCTGGGAGCAGCAGGACGCGGAGGGGCGGTTTCTCCCTTTCAGGAAAATGTTTCAGAGCACGTATATTTATTTATTTATAAAGCATAGGCACTTTATTACTGGGTTTATATATTATGTATCCATAAAACTTGAAATTTAAAGAGGATGAGATAAAAAATAGAAATAGAGTCGTGTTTCTTTCCATGTGCCAACGAGCTGCCTTTCATTCCATCTTGGAGACCTGGGTTCAATTACTGCACCCTGGTTGGGCCCGGAACTGGAGAAAACACCCCCTCCTATTGTGTTCCTATCATCCTACCCCGCCCCCACAAGCCCAAGACATAAGGTAGCTGAGAGCAGAAAGTAGTGGGAGGTCCTCCGAGATCTGGGTTCAAGTCTTGCATCTGCTGTTTACTGGTCCAGTGACCTTGGGCCTCTCTGAGCCTCAGTTTCTTCTGCAAGATGGAAGGAGCCACATCTCTCATGCCTGGCAGAGGGACAGGCCATGGGGCTGGCTGGCTCTGGGGGTGACCTGACGCTGAATGGCACAGTGGTTAGGAACACACCCCAAAGGGCCAGGCGGAGTCCTACAGTGGCCATGCCCTTCCAGAAAGAGAGCCGTTTATTGTGGCGTGGACAGGGCGGTTGATCAAGTCTGTGTCATGTGCCTGGAGCGCTGCTGGAGGGGCCTTCCAGGAAGAATTATCAAGAGAGAAGAGCCAGTCAGTCAGTCAGTCAGTCCGTTAACAAACAACCGAGCGTCAGCTCTGCCAGGTGCAGTTTTAGGTAGTGCAGCCAAGAAGCTCCCTTAGGAGCCTGAGGTCGCTCGCAGCCCAGGGTGTCCCCATCAAAGACACTGCATTGTCTCCCAAGAGCACCGCGGTCATCCTCAGGCCAGGCATAAGGGGCCCTTGGAAGGGGGAGGCCCTGGCCCAAGCAGGGCCCATAGCCAGGTGGTCACCCCCTGAGGTGTGGTCCCCCCTGGGCGGAGAGTGACTCAGGCCCCGCCCAGCCTCCCGCTGCCTGGGTTTGGTTTGTTTAAGAACAAATTAGTCACAGAGCAGGCAGCTTTCCCGAAAATAAACCGAGAATCCCCAGGAAACAGGGAAAATTGAAGGCAGGCGGGTGAGTCAGCACGTGCGGGCCCCAGGGCTCCGCTTTCCAAACTGCCCTCGCCCCCTCGCCCCGCCCGCTCCGCTGCTCCGCTCCCCTCGGCCTCCAGTCCTCTGGGCACCCCTCCTGCTCCACCCTCCTCTCCCTCTCCCCTGCTCCCTGGCCCCTTCCCGCCAGAGCTGCGTTCATTCATCTGTCCTGCGGTGTGTACAGGGCACCCCCGGGGCCAGGCCCTGGTGCCAGTGGGCAGAAGAGGGAGGCAGAGAGCCCGGCTCCCCCGGGACCCCCTCCCAGGGCACACACAACCCCAGGGGTGTCACCAGCTGACCACGCCCTGGGCCCTTGCCTCCACCCCGCGCCCACCCTGGGGAAGCAGAGCTCAGCCCCAGAGGTCGGTGCTGAGGCCTCCACCAGCTCCTGTGGCCCCTCCCAGGCCACAGCACAGGCCACGGGCTCCAGGGGGCCTTTCTCTGGAACTGGCCCTCTGCTGCCCAGAGCAGGGCCTGAGCGGGGTGAAGCTGGAGACCCTGGTGAATCTGAAAGCTCTGGTGTCCTTCCCTCTGCAAACCTCCTGTGGGAGAGGCCAGACCCCTCTTTGGGGAGGACTCCAGCCTTCCCATTGACACCCAGATACTGGAGGTCAGCAGGGGAGGTTGGGGTAGCTCCGTTGTGGGAACCTGGCTTCTCAGCTGCCCATGGCGGGAGCAAGTGGGACCCCTCCTGTCCCGGCTAGTCCCTGAGGGGCTGTACCTCTCCTGCCAGGGCCTCCTTCAGCCACCCCCCCCCATCTCTCCAGCTAGAGGCCATGCTCTGCCACCTCCCTGGGACCCCCAGACCTCACTTCCCAGACCCCTCAGGAGCCAGGGGAGGTGGCCCAGGCCTAGGTCACAGGGCTGGGCTGGGGTCTCCTGTCTCCCGGTCACTGTCCAATCTCTGTCTGCAGCTCTCCATGAATAATTTAGTTGTTCGAATTACAGTAAAGAGCTTCAGCTTCCCTTCCCAAATCGTTAAGAGCTGATATAAGACGCCCCAGTTCCTTCTGAGGAAAGTCCCTTTCCCAGCGAAACTGAGCCCTGTGGGTGGGGATTTCTCCCCCTGCACCCCCACCCCAATCATCCACCCATATCCAATACTAGTCGGCAATGGGTATTCAAAAAAAATGTTGGCTATGAAAAATGGATTGAAGCACTAGTGGCCGGTGTTCAGAGAGGGACGCAGAGCTGTCCTGCAGAGAGCCTTGGGGGCGCTCCTGGTGACCCCAGGTGATAACTGCAGGCCCCTGGGGGAGTCCTGGACCTGGGAAGGGGCGTGGCAGGAGCCTGTGAAACAAGCTCGGCGTGAAGCCGACCAGAGAGGGGCAGTGGGCGCCAGTGTGCGGGGTGCACACGTGTGGGGCGTGTGGCCCAGGAGCGGGCACCGTGTGCGGCTGCACACGTGAGTGCCAGGGATGCGCGCGTGTGTAGGAGCTCGGGCACCTGGGGGCGCGGCTGGAACACGTGGGCCGCTCCGAGTGGGGGCTTGCAGAGCAGGATCCAGTCCCTCCGGGCTTTCGGAGCCGAGAGCCGTGGGTGAGGACTCTGGGTGGGGCTAGGCTGGGCCTCCCGGTCAGGTGATTTGCAGGCAGGGAGCGAGGGGAGGAGCTTCGGGAGGTTCAGAGAGGGAGGACCGGAGGGAAAGGGCCCGGTGGGGACTTGGCTGGAAGATTCAGTGAGGAGGGAGGCCACACCCAGGGGCTGCAGGATCTGGATCCTGGAGCCATGGACGATGGAGGCCCCGCACCCCCGGGTGTGGAACCCAGAGCCCAGAGTCAGCTGTGGAGGAGGGGCCGGTCCCGAATCTCAGCCCCGCAGCACCTGGAGAGCCCCTGCAGTCTAGGCCATCTGAGCGGCAGTCTCAGCCTCTGCAGGTGTAGCCCAAAGGAGGCCGAGGGAGGAAGGAGGGAGCCTCCGGAGGCACCGCTGGCTGGAGGCTGGGCCTCCGCTGTGAGGCAGGAGGCCTGGCTCCAGCAGGCTCACCCACTGGCTGAGCTCTCTGTTCTCTGAGCCAGGCCTGGCAGGAATGGGTGTGGTTTCCCATGACCTGTCCCGCCCCAGAGCCACTGAACCTGCCCGACACACCTGTTCACTGACTGTACCTGAGCAGGCCCAACTGGCCTCCCACAGCCACTCCGGTGTCCCTCATGTCTGCCCATCCTCCCAACAGGACTCCAAGAGAAGGGCCCCCAACACCCTGCAGACACACACAGGGGAGGGAGCAGTGTGCCTTGGCCTGCCCACAGGATTTTGCCCAGCTGGACAGTCGATTCCTGTGGAGCCCAGGTGGCCCCACCCCCAGAGCCTCCCACAGCAACCCTATGGGAAGCGGCTCCTCCCCCTCACAGAGGCCATGTGGGGCTCAGCTGTGACCCCGGCACCCCTCAACCAGACGTGGGCCTGCCTGGTCCCCGGGGACCTGCCCTGTCTGCTGTGTCAGCATCTTGCCGCTTCCGCTGCAGGAGCAGAGGCCGCAGAAGGACCCTGCGGTCCAGTCAGGACAGCAGCCCCTGGTAACCCCATCCTTCCCTCCCGAAGCCCATCCTGGCTCAGGAGAGTTCCTCCATTTCCTTGGAAATAATGGGCCACACCCTGGCTCCGAGCCCTCCAAGCCCCTCTGTGGCTTCTGGCTTCCTGGGATAAGCAGATGGGACACTCTGGTCCCTCCTCTCCTTCTGCTGGGGAGGCTTGGGCAGGGTGGTACCTGGCTGGTGGCAACCAAGCAGAGCCCACCTGCCCTCCACGTCTGCCCTCCTGTGGGTGAGAATGACTAGGGCTCTCTGTGGTGTCAGTATTTGGTGGCCTCTGCAGCCCCCCGCCCACGCCCACACAATACCTCCCCACCTCTGCTGGGTGGCCGGGGCTTCTGCCAGTGCAGGAGACAGCCACTCTCCCTTCCCTGAGGGTCTTAGGACAGGCTAGGGGCCCCGGTGATAAATATCTTGGTCTCTGGCTTTGTAGTGAGAGAGGGAGAGAAGGTAGTGAGCCCCAGAAGGTAATGAGCAGGTGAGTTTGTCTATGTCCCCAAAAAACTAGGGGCGTTGCACCTTGAATTTCATATCATTGTAACATGTCATGAAATATCCTTTTCTTTTTGATTTGTTTTCTAACCATTTGAAGCTGTCAAAACCGCCGGGCATGGTAGCACACGCCTATAATCCCAGCAGCACGGGAGACAGGCAGGAGAATCCTAAGTTCAAGGCCAGCCTTGGCAACCCAGTGAAGCGCTAAGCAACTCAGGGAGACCCTGTCTCTACATAAAATACGAAATAGGGCTGGGGTGTGGCTCGGTGGTCCAGTGCCCTGAGTTCAGTCCCCGGTACCAAAAAAATAAATAAATAAAAATGTAAAAACTGCTCTTTGTTTGTGGACAGAAAAAAAAGCAGGCAGCCAGTGGGATTCAGCCTGAGGGCCGTGGCTTGCTGCAGCCTGGTCCAGGCTGCTTCCTGGGTGAACTCCTGCTCAAGGAACAGAGAAGCACCCCCTTGACTGGGTGAGCACAGTGCATAGACCTCATGCCCGCACCACTGATTCCCGGTCTGCAGCCTGGCTGGAGTCTGCACACACCTTCCATGCAGGGCAGCTGTCCGTTGAACTCCGGCGTGCTTCCTCTACGATGTCTCCTTGATCTTCACCACCTCTGGCAAGGCATCCCTGCTGTCCTCATTGAATAGATGAGGTAGCAGGAGCCCAGAGAGACTAAGTAACCTGCCCAAGGTCACCCAGCTAGCTGACACAGAGGCAGGAATCCAGACTGTGCACACACAGTGCCTCTTTCCCCAAAGGCAACCCTGGTGCTGGGCCTCCATGTGGGGCACTAGGCCTCCAGCGGACATGGCCAGGGTCAGAGAAGCGCAGCCTGCCTCCACCCAGAGGTGCAAGGGCTCCTTCTGTGGACTGATGTTGTTTGTCCTTCGTTTCCAGGGCTAGCTTTGGGCCGATGGTCTCCTGGGCTTGGCTCCTGCCTTCTCAGCAATCCAGATGCAGAGCTGATCTGGCGGTTCTGGACCCAGATTCTGCAGCTGCCCACCCCTCCCCCAGCCGTCCATCTGAACCTAAGGCAGGAACAACCATCTCCACCGCCCCCACCCTGCCTCCAGCTGAGGACATGGCCCCACTGCCCACCGCCTCCGCTCACCGGCTCCACTCAGCCTCCAGCCCGGCCCTTCTTCGCCAAGCGCTGTTCTCCCCATATGTCTGAGGGGACAGCCACCCTGACACCTTCCCGCTCCCCACGTCAGCCTGGGAATTGGGCCGCTCCTGGGCGGGCCGGGCTGCATAAACATGTGGTTCCGCTGTGGTCTGCCTTCCCATGTGGGGCGTCTGGGGAGGCTTCTGAGGTTGGAGGTGGGAGGCAGCTCTCCTCTGCGCTCACAGGCAGTGACCCCCGCCCAGCGCTGTCCCTGCCACTCAGCCCTCCCTTCTAGCGCTTTCCCATAGAACATCTTGGCTCCAGGGATTCCCATCACCTTGCAGAGTTCAGAGTTCCTGGGAAGCTCCCCCCTCCCCCTTCCTGGTGCCCTGGAGGAAGGGGAGGAGGAGAGAGGCCAGGGTCATTGCTGAGCTGCAGGAGGAGGAGAATCTGGGGGTCTAGTGGGGGGCGAGGGAGCAGGGCCTTCAGGGAGGTCAGGGTGGGGGTGGCCATAAGGGCAGCATCCAGTAGCACACAGCACAGCCTGGAGGCAAGGAAGTGACAAGTCACCAAGACCTGTGTCACCCAGGGGTTCCAGGAGGCTCTGCCCAGCCACAGGAAGACCATGGGGCCTCTGCTGGGGCAGCCAGTGCAGAGAAGTTCCAAGATGCGGCTCCTCTCCTCTGTCTTCCAGCCCCCATGGCAGCCAGCTTCCGAGGGTCTCCGAGAAAGCTGGGCCTCCCCCAGGGGGCCGAAGCAGCCCTCTGCTGTTAGGCCCAGGAAGATGGTGGACAGGGCTCGGAGGCCAGGGGCAGGGGCAATGTTGAACCCCTGAGAAGCAAGGAGGGAAGAAAGAAAGGAGGGAGGAAAGAGGAAGACGGGAGAGAAGGAGAGAAGAGACGGGAGGGAGGGGAAGGAGGGCGGCTGCGCTGGCCTCAGCGTGGGCAGTGCCGGGCACCTGCAGGGCGCTGGGCTCTGTCCTCAGCTCCCCATTAAAAATGAATAAACGAACGACATAACGGCATCTGTCCATCCACAACGACCAAAAGAGTCATAAAAAAAGATGGAAGGAAGCAGCGGGAGAGGCGGTGGGCCCCCCGGGCCTTGGCCCCCTCCCCTCTCTCCCCTGCTCTCCTGGGATGCCCCTGCTCTTCCTCCGGTGCTTAGTTATCTCCTTGCCATCTCCGGGCTCTGGCCCTGGATCCAGCGGGGGAGGCCGGCCTGGTGCCCAGCCCGTTGCCCCGGAGACGCCCCTGTGTTAGACACCAGCATCTGGAAAGGTCAGACCGTTTTCGTGGGTCAGGCCCAGTCCCTCCCTTTTTTCCCCTTCTCCTTTTTCAATTCCAGTTGATTCTGCCCAAGTCCCAAACTTCCTCTGTCTCCATGGGGACGGAGGAGGGCCTTCTCTCTTTTTCCATCCCAAACATCTGTCTCCATAAACAGTTGAGCGCTGGCTTGGGGCACCTCCTCCTTCTGGCTGGGGCTCGGGAGGAAATGCTTTGTTTATCTGGAGGGGTTCGCTTCCTCGCTCCTCTTGGGGTTGGCCCGTGCTGGATGGCTGCAGCCCTGGACACTGGGAGCCCTGGGCACGTGGCCAGTGCTCTGCTTCTCTGCTGCCGGTGCCCGGTCGTCTGGTAGATCTCAGCTCCACTTTGCTGGTCGGGCTGTATTACACATGCTGCTTAACCTCTCTGAGCCTGCTTCCTCCCCCTCCAGGTGGGCATTCTAACTGTGCCTCTTTCCTGGATTTGTCCAGCAGGTAAAGAGGTGACCTGCGCAGGTGCCAGGTGTAAGAGCTGGGCTCTCATCAGAATGCTCCTTGTGCCCCTGGGGACTGTGGGTGAGATGTAGTGGCTTCACTGAGGACAGTGGTCAGACTCAGGGAGGTTGCTTGGTCCAGGACTGTCCAGGGGCTTGTTGGTGGGGACAAGACTCCACCCCAAGAGGCAAGCCCACCCATTCTGCGAACCGTCAGGACCCCCATCTGAGTCCCAGGACTTTGGATTGCAAGCGAAAGGAGTGAGGGGCCTTCCTTCCCGGCTTGAAGCCTCCTTGATCTATTTCAGGAAGAAGGTGGGGTGACTAAGAACGTTAGTGGCGTTTGCTGGGAGCCAGGGATGGGAGTGGGTGATGTAGGATAGTCAGGGAGCCAGGGACAGGGACCCTGTGACTCATCCCTGCCTCCCTGGCTGGTGGAATTGGCCACAAGAAGATCACAGGACTGGCCCAGGCCCAGCCCTGGCCCATCCACTGCAGGAGCCTGCTGTGGGCCACCTGAGCCACATGCCAGCGCCACTCCCAAGGGCCTCCCTGATGGACATCCCGGTCCAAGTCCAGGTCCTCAGCCCCTGTGGGGGTCAAAGAAAGAGATCAAACTCCCCCCTCCCCACCCCGTTCCCAGATGACCAAAGAGGAGATCTTAGAAACGTCCTGAACATCTGAGCAGGAAGAGGTGCTTCCGAGTCCAGCTCCAGGATTCCTGGCCGACCCTGGGCGGGTTCGTCTCGGAGACTCGCTGAGATCATCCGTGGAATGGAAAGCAGAGTTTTGGTCCCAGCTGGGGACTAGTCGCTCATGGTGGTGACATCTGGTTACGGTGCCCCACCAAGTGCTGGGGGAGCCCCGCGAGCTGCTCCCCACCCCTCCATGGAGGCTGTGCCCAGGAGAGCTGAGGAGGGCAGCTGGTGCCAGCAGGGAGGCTCCGGGTGAGCCTGGACCTGCCTTTCTGGGGTGACAGCAGCTGGGCAGGTGCAGCCCCTCCAAGGAGCACGGCCCCACAGCCCCTCCCCCGGGCCCAGACCCCCACACACAATGGGAAGAGAGGGCAGGTTTGGCTGGGCCCGGACTCGGGAGCGGGAGGGTCCCTCCCTGATGGGGCAGCAGGCTGGACCGTGGTGTGGGAGCCCCGTGCTACCGGGGACTTGACTTACACAAATCAAATGAGATTGTTTTCTTTCGGTGCTGGGGATGAGCGCGGGCCTCGGGCGTGCCAGGTAAGGCAAGCTCTGCCACTGGGCTGCCCCAGCCCCCACGTCACGGATGGAAAAGGGAATCCTAGGACTATCCAGGAGACTGCGGAGATGAAACCCAAGCCAGGGCCCCTTTTGGAGTGTGGGGCCCCAAGTGACAGGCCTGTCCCTGTGTATCTAAGATGACTGATGGCTGTCCCCTTAGTGTCTCCTAAGAGAGGAATAGACTGGGTTTGAGCAGGGATGCCAGGAAGAGGGGAGGGGTCATCCTCGGTTCCCAGCTCCCATTAGCCAAAGTCCAGCCTAGCCGGTGTGGCCAGGTGAGCCGCACGGGGCCGGCCGGACAGGGGAGGCCAGAGCGACTGGGGTGCTGACACACTGCACTTTGCTTGAGCCTGGCCACTCGCTGTGACCCCGCAGGCCAGCCCTTGTGTTGAGGAAACACACCGAGTTCTGTGGGGTAAAGAGACCTGTCTGTGACTTGCACTGAAATGTCAGAGGTGAACCCATGGAGGAGCAGGGAGGGAGGAGAAACACAGCCGTGGGAAGATGTCCTCTCTGGCGAATCTGTGCAAAGGGTGTCCGGGAACTCTTCGTGGTGTTTTTGCATAAGACTGGTATTTTTAAAACTAAAAGTGGGTTTCCTTGTTAGTTTTTTTTTTTTGTTTGAAGAGTATGATATAAACTGGGTGCAGTGTCACATGCCAGAGGCTCAGGAGGCTGAGACAAGAGGAGGATTGCGAGTTCAAAGCCAGCCTCAGTCACGGTGAGGTGTTAGGCCGCTCAGGGAGACCCTGTCTCTAGCAAAATACAGAACAGGGCTGGGGGGGCTCGCCGGCTGAGTGCCCCTGAGTTCAATCCCTGGTACCAAAAACACCCAAAGAATATGACACAGTATTGTTCTGGGGAATAATATCATCAGGAGCCAGACCTTCGGAGGGTGGGCAGGTGGGTGGGTGGGTGTCTCCTGGAGGCTCCAGGTCCCGCGGGAGGGGCCACAGCCCCAGGGCAGGGAGCAGAGTCCCCCAGGGCCAGCGCCCTGCTCCTGCCACCACCAGGTCCCAGCTTTCCGGCCTTGTGGCCAGTCTTTCCCTTTGGGGGGCTGGTGACTCAGCCACGGGCTCCATGTGGCAGGAAGTGGGCACAGTGACTCATGGGGTGGCCTGGCACCCTCCCTCCTGGAGGCCGGGATCGCTGCTGAGGCCTCAGGCCACAGAAGGCCCCTCAGAGAGGGGGAGGGCGGCCTGGTCACTGCCGGACCTTCCTGGTGCTGGGGCAGCCAGCTGTGCCCACGGCCCGCAGAGATCTCCAGCCACGCGTGGGCATGCGCTCTGGGCTGGGCGCTCCTTGGGATTCCTCACTGGCTGCCCCAGCTGGGGGCCGTCACCAGCCTGGTGGCAGCAGGCAGAGCTCCGCAGGCCCAGAACCTGTGAGGCCTCACGCTCCAGTGTCCGCCTGCCTTGCGGACCTGCTCAGGCTCCCCTGCCACCTCGCAGGCAGGCGCAGTGGTGAATGAGGGCACCTTGGAGAGCAGGCTTTGTCCTTCCTCTACCACGTCCTGGCAGGTTTCTTTGGATCCTAGGAGCATGGAGGGCTGGGATGTTCGCTTTAAAGCTAGGCCATGCTCACAGTCATGGGGGCGGAGGTCCCGTGCTCCTGTATCCAGGGCCTCGTCCTCATCACAGAGGGAATCCGAGGCTCGGGGAGTCTAAGGAGCTTGCCCGAGACCACGGGGCTCCAGGAGGTGAAGTCGCGATTTGAACTCAGGCCTTCCTGACTCCAGGCTGCCCTGCCCTCATCCCGTCTGTGCCTGCCTGGAGCCACGGTGCTGGGCGGGAGTCCAGTGGTCAGCTAGGAGGGTGGCTCCTCGGCAGGAGGCTCTGACATGTCAGGTGTGCGGGAAGGGACACAGCACCCGCCCTCTGAGCCAGGGCACCTCCTAGCCCTGTCCCTGCCTCTCCCTGGCCTCCCACCTTGGCTCCCTCCCCAGCTGCCGGACGGCCCCCACCTCAGCCGCTGTGGCTGCTCTCCCTGGGCTCCAGTTTCCTCCTCTGTTCACAAGGTTCCCACTCCTGTGCGTCCCTTCGTTCCTCTTTCTCCTTCAGTTCCCTTTCTGTCCCCTCTCCTCCTCCCTCCCTGGACACCCCCCCCTTGCCATCAGGCTGGAGCTCACAGCAGGAGCAGGATAGGGGACAAGT